GTAGCTCTGAGAAAACACAGCCAGACTCTGGAGTACTTACTGTTGTTTCTTCTGTCTCATTCTGCTAAACACTCCGGTCTCTGGAGACGACATAAATCCAGGGCAGTGTCTGGGATTGTGCAAACAAAAAAATACTGTCTGTTTGGTCTTATTGTTTGCTTCCTGGCACAGAGGGATTTATAGGATCTTCATAATGATTCACAGTCAAATACCATTTTTGCTAATGCACTTAGAAAGTGCTGCAGAGAAGAAGAAGAGAGGGCTTCTTCTTCTTCTCTGCATTAAATTTAGCTTTAACAACTTTTTGATCAAAGTAAAGACAGACGAGTAACTTAGAAGATAAGATCTTATGTTCTGTCATCAAGTCCCATGGCGGGATTAAATACATTTTAATAAAAGGCAAGTGTTCTCCCAAATGGAGATATTTCATGTGTACTAAGCGATGGGCAGTCAATGCAAGGATGGATTTTCTTCGTTTTCTCTCCTTTTTGAATTATGTTCGGTGAATGATAAATTGACTTGAGCTTTAACACCGCATGTCACACATTCACACACTGATGGTAGAGGCTGCTATGTAAAGAGTCCATCAGTCGTAACTAATCCATTTACACACATTCATACTCTGCAGACAAAGCAGCGGGAGCAACTTGGGGTTAAGTGTATTGCCCAAAGACACATCGGACATGTAGCTGCAGGAGCTGGGGATCGAACCCTCGACCTTCAGGTTGAGAGACGACCGACTATACCAACTGAGCCACAGCCGCCCCATTTCTCTAAATTGTTCCTTTTAATCTCTTAAACTTTTACAGGTTTAGGTCTTTGTATCACATAGCACCGTCTGAGTTTGCACCTGTTCACACGAGCATCTTTCCTTTGAGTTCATCCTTATTTAAACCTTCATTCAATATAAACTCACCGTAAAAGCCCTGACACACCAAGCAGATGGCAAAGAACTAGTGGCAATGAAGGCTGCCTTTGGGGTCGCCTCATGTCTTGGCCAACTAGGGCCAACGGCTGAAGATCTCCTTGGTGTGTCAGGGCCTTTAGAGCACAAGTTCACGGCATCTTTGGGGTTTTTAGATCAAGTGAGCCGAGATTGCAAATTTTACAAACCCAATTCAACGCACATCATTTGGTCGTGTATTGCTGTAAGACCAAATTAGCATTTTTCATGACAAACCCTCAACACAGAAGCTCATTCAAACTGATAACGAAGTAAAAACGAGCACACCAACACGTGTGGTGTGTCATATTGTTGAAGAGGTAATGTTCTGAACACTCAGCATCTCTCTCCTTCATTGGTCACCATCCTGTGGGTGAAGCAGAAGAGCTGATGAGTCGTCATCACAGACAAAGGATGGGTATCAGAACTCAACGCTTGGTTGACGTTATTCCTTGAGTAACGTTTCATTACTCACACTAGTCCGTTTTCTCCCAGTCAGTGTTACATGTGCAAATTAGATTTATAGGTTCGTCTGACTGATGAGTAAAAAAGTAACGAACGATACACAGAGGGGTAACTTCTCTTTGTTCAACATACTCACCTGTGCACAGCAGCTACAACTGCTTCACATCAACTCTAAAAGGACACCAGGCATTATTCAAATAGGCAAACGCACATTTAAAAAACTAAACAATAGACTACAATAATATGCAGTGCAAGATATTTGGTTTTAATCTTGCATATCATTGAAATACTTGTTCAGTGTTTAACCACCAAAAAACAGCAATGAGACAGAAGGAGACCAAATTTAGAAGGAGAAAGGTGGCAGACAAAAAGGAAGCAAGGAGAGGGGTAGAAATAAGGAAAAGAAAAGACGAGGATGGAAGGTGATGGAAGACAAGAGGAAGAAGGAAGGGATGTGAAAGGACAACAAAGGCAGAAGAGGAAGATGGAGGGAAGAAAAAAGGAGGTGGAAGGTTGAAAGAGAAGAAGGAAGAATCGAATTTGGGAGAGGAAAAGGTAGAAAATGGAAGAATTTGAGATGTTGAAGAAAGAACAAAAAAGGAAGGATTAATGGTGGAAGGAACAAGGAGGAAAGAAGGGGAACGGTAGAAATGAAGAAGGAGCAAGATGGTAGACAATGGGAGGAAGAAATAGTGAGACAGACACAAGAGGAAGATGGAAGGAAGAGGAAAGTTTAAAAAATAAGAAGGAAGTGGAAAATGGAAGAAATTATGAGAGGTGGAAGACAGAATAAAAAAAGGAAGGCTAATCAGTGGGAGAAAGATGGGACATAATAGAAGATAGAAATTAAGAATGATAAAGTTGGTAGAGAAAGAAAGAAAGAAATAGTGAAGGCAGAAGAGGAAGATGGAAGGAAGAGATTAGGGAGGGGGCCGGTTAAAATAAAGGGAAGGATCAAAGAAAGGAGGGGAAAACGGAAAGAATAAAGGAAGAAATTATGAGAGGTGGAAGACAGAACAAAAACGAAAGGAACGATAAACAGTGGAAGAAGGAAGGAACAAGGTGGAAAGACAGGGAAATGGTAGAAGATAGAAATGAAGGAGAAAGATGGTAGACGAAAGGAGAAAGAAATAGTGAAGACATGCAGAAGAGGAAGATGGAAGGAAGAGATGAGGGAAGAGGAAAGGTGGTAGATTGAAGAAAGAAAGAAATGTTGAAGACATGAAGGAGAAAAGGAAAGAGTGAGATAGGTAAGGAGGATAGGAGCCATGGCTGAAGATGAAAAGAAGGTTGTAGTGGAACAAAGAGGAAGAAATGGAGAAAAAAATATGCATGAAATTGTACAGCTGCCATATGTACTCTTGGTAAATAAACAGACTGTTCTCACACTCCAGGTCTTAAAATGGTCATGACTGATTCAAGCTGCAAATTAGCATCTCATTATTTCCTGTGGTGTTCCTGTAGCTTTCATGACGTCACACCACCTCCTCATTGACGTCTGAGAGAACCAAGTGGAGGGAAATAAGTGCCAGTCCACCCCTTGTTCGCCTGTTTTCAGTGAAGAACCTCTGCATCAATCAAGGTCCACTTTCTCCACCTCAAGTCCCCCTTTGTGTCTGAGCAGGGATCTGACTCTGCCACGTACCTTGCACCCCGGCTTTTTGTCTTTGAGCCAGTTGTTCTGCTAGCAGAAATACTGATCGTGATCCTCTGACTAACAGCAGAAGAAACACAAACAATGTTGATTCTACAGCAACTGGTTTGGTTCACAAACTGCAGCTGCAAACTTGACCACACCAAACCTGGCTCAATGAGCAGAGCTTCTCCGGCTCCTGAGTTTCCAAAGTAACATCCTTTAATGGGAGTTTAATTTGAGATTGAAGGACAATGCCAGATTATAAACCGCCTGCATGTGAGCGAGTGTTTGCAGCTCTCCAGTCCTCCCAGTTCAGCTCTTGTGGATCTTCAGAGGCGAAGAGGCCTCAGGAGATCAGTAGCTAATCCACCCTGACACCGACTCCGTCTTCACTCACTGTACAGAGAAAATTGATTTAAAGGAAGCCAAGGCTTATCGAGGGTTCTCTTTCTGGCTTGCTCTCCTGCTGTCATACAATTAAAGGTCATATATGTGAGTGTATCGGGGTCCTCCTGCGGTGACCATTTCTGTCATGTGGAACTAAAGAGTCAGCAGTCAGGTTTCTGCGTTTGTTGAGGATGAGCGAGGGAAGGTTTGTGAGGACTGCTGGTTAGTCGTGACGGAGAGCTGAGAGGGAAAAAAAAGAAAAAGCCAAACCCCTCTGAACAAAGTCCTCTGAGCATACTCTGAATCACTGTCACCACACTGACTGTTTGTTCAGTGCAACGTCGCCCTCTGCTGTCTGCATTGGCCAACCAGAAGAGATCATCTCTTTCATTTTTTTAATGGATGAATCTCTCTTTTAGAGCTCACGTCCAACAGCTGGTAAAAAGAGCAAAACTGAAACTGGGTTTGATTTTAAAATCAATTCCTGACTTTCTCTTGAGCTTGTTGTCACTTTTCTGTCTGTGCTGGATTATGGAGGTGTTTTAGGCGGGGAACACACTCTAAGACAATCAGGACGATTTTGGATTTGACCCCCCCCTCCCCCCCTTCAAGCAAAAATCGGTTCTTAAGATTCTCTTGTCAGATTCTCTTAGGCCCCCCCGTGTCCACCTAGCGTTTTTTTTTTTCAGCCATTTTCAGCCAGCGTCCTTTTTCAGTTGTTTCCAATCAGCAGAGAGCGTTCCCAGCAGAAAAGCGGCGTCTTTTCTTCCATGCGCTCCGCCTTATTTGTGCGACCGCTCGGAGCACTCAAGTTGAAAATCTTTCAACTTTTCAGAAAGGCGCTGTTTTCCAAATGTTTGATATTCCCCGTAGCTTTGCCGCCTACGGATCGTGTCTTGTACCCACATCCTCCTTGCTCCGTGTCTGATCGGGAAATAAACAATCTCAAATATAAAACACAGAGTAAGTGTCGGTCATACAGTGGCTGTTGTAAACAGACTGTTGTCATGGAGACAGGGCGTACGTGCAGCGCTTTTCTTCTCAGGGCACAAACGCTTCATGCAAACACTTCAGTGCGCACAGTCAGCGCATTTCTGCCCGGAAAAAAGCGCTAGGTGGACACCGGGCCTTAACGAGTGAGGTGTGTTGAGAGGTATCCCATCTGCTTAGGATGAACGTTTGAGATTTTTAGAGGAAATGCATTTTAGTGTCCGCCTCACATGCGGCTTCATATATATTTAATTCTCCCCTCAAACTGAGATGATTTTCCGTACTAAGATCAGTTTCCTAGCCAGTTAGTTTCCAGCCCGTAAAAGCGGTTTTAAAATATGTTCTGTAACTCAGGGGGCTAAAGTAATCCTGATGATGTCATAGTGATGTCATCAGTTGACTACGAGAAGTCACAACAAAGCACCTTCATGACAAAAAAACCTGAGGTGTGGACTTTAATAACATGGATAATCTGCATGTGGGTACAGTCTAATCAAATAGAAGTTATCCAAATACATTATGGGAAATGCAGTATTTAACGATTGTGGATTTTTAACAATGCACAATTTGTCTCCTCAGCCTGGAGACTTCCTCAGGATCTACAACCTCCGAGCAATCCCAGGATCCAGTAAGGTCCCCGGCCTCACCAGCACCCAGGCGGTGGAGGTGGATCACATGGCGTTCCACCTGCACGGAGGGACGGCGTTCGGCAGGGGCATCCGGCTTCTTCCAGAAGACAGCCCTGAAGTGCAGGAGCTGAAGAGGTATGGCAGCAGAAGAGGGACAAATTACCTGAGCTGAGGACGAGAATAAAGTCAGTGCAGAAATCTAGGCTCTGGTTGGATGTGCTGGCTAAGAACCACAGAAGCACAAGTGTAGACGAGGTGTTTGCAGTCGGGTTTGTGCAGCAGCTGCCCATCATGTATTCAAGGGTTTACACGTTTGGCGCAGCTGCTTTAGAGGAAACATCGGAAGTCCAATTTAAAAGCTGCTTCAGTAAATAGTCCAGGGTCAAAATCATCAAACCGGAGTTGATGCATATTTTTTCAGTTTATGGATGCTGATAATTCAATAAAAGCACATCAGTATATAATTACTTTCACTGGATTGACTTGTATTAACTGTATATCTGTGCTGTAAATGTATTTATTTTCAACATACGTCTTTGTGTATCTGTAGAGTGATTGCAGCAATCCCGGGGGACGAGGAGCTGAGTGACTCTGAGATGATGGAGGTCTGGAGCACTCCACCCGAGTCTCTGGGTACGAATGGATCTTAAATCACTCTTTTAATTTGTCCTTTTCAAATAACTAATTTTGGCTGCACTTACCTGCATAAGAAGCGAGAGGCTTGTACTGTTACAAGGGTTGATGTCTGGATAAATTAGAATAAACTATGTTAGTGAATAAGAGGAGGCAAGACAAGATGTTAAAAAAAAATTGAGCATACAAAGCGACAGTCTGAGATGATGACAGTTTTTGCCTTTATATCAATGCTAGGTGCAATCGGACATGACCACAGTAACGATGTACAAGTGGAAAATGAATATACCAGCGAGCAGAAAGGAGTAAGACAGCGGTTTATCAAGTGCATAAAGATCACACCAGTCGCAAGATATAAACGTCATCACCCTCGCTAGCTGGCCCACAGTGTACTTCTTGCATTTAATTCACTTAGGGGGCTGGCAGGAGAAAGTCAGGGTGAAGAATGCGTGCAGCTCGTCAGGAAAGTTTTGTGCATGTGTAAAAACACCAGAATAAAATATGATAGCGTAAATGTGAATGTCCTTACTGCTTTTTTTCACAATGCGATGCGATTAATGGATTAAAGCTGAAGAGAGCTGCTTCCATTAGCAGCGTCGAACTGAAAGCCCAAACTTCTCCAGGGCTGAAATGATAAGTGCAAAACTTGAGCTGTGACCTGAAGGTTTCCTTTCAAACAGACGGACAGACAGCTGTGGACAGTCGTATAAAAGCTTTGTCTTCTGACCTGCAGACATGATGGGTCACTCTGAGTGGACACCACAGTTGCTCAGTACTTTTTGTTTCTACATTTCTTGATAATGGTTTTAAAAGAAACTTTGGATTTTATTCTATTCAGTTTGTCATATGCTTTAAAAAGTGTCCAGTGGACAGTCAATGCAATGACATGCATTCTCTTTTTGTGATTCAGATCTTGTCACAGTCACAGTGGAGTGCAGCACAGGTAGGAAACACAACAAACTCCAGCAGCTCGGCTGTGAGGTGAACATGTCCACTTGTTCAAATGGAAAAAAAAACACAGATCAAATGGAGGGTCAGCGGATTGTGAAGATGTTTTTCTTTTTCTCAGTAGCTCAACACCTTTCCCATCTTTTGTTTTCTTGGAAGTAGTTCCTTTAGTTCAAAGGAAGAATGTGTGACATTTTACACATAAAAACAGCAGAAAGGAAGTCTATCCTGTGTAAATGTGTCTCTGAGTCATATCTGTCTACAATGAGTGAGAAGCTCGAGTCCCGCTGGCTGTGTTGTTGTGAGAGCCGTGTTTACATGGACGGGACGGCCGGCTCCTCCCCTTGTGTATAAAAGCTGTTTTAGTCAAGAACTAGAGAGAAGAAGAACATACTCACTGATTATTTGGATGTCACGTCAGTGTTTTTCGATCACAGTCATTCTGTGTCAACTTGCATGCAATGTGAAGCTACGAGCTAACTAAAGAGCGCTAACATTAGCATGCTAATACAACAATGCAGGACACAGGTGATTGCAGCTCGAGCCAAGGACAAATTTGTCAGCTACTTTTGCTGAACTACTTTGTGACAATGTCAGTGGAGGGGGGTTGGAGGTGTGTCTCTGGAGGAGAGCGGAGGCTTCAGTATGGAGGAGGTGTGGCCAAACAGCAGTTTGTTTTGGTTTCATTATGGAGCTCAAGGGCGACATCTACTGGATTAAAAAGTCTCACATTCTTCCTTTTAATGTTGCATTTAGTCTTTTAAAGTTTCAAAGAGTCCCTCTGTTTGTGTCTTTTGTATCTTTGACTGTGTTCATCATGTGTGTCACAGAGAGAACCTGTGGTCATGACGTGCAGCCCGTGATGTTATCCCAGCTGAAGCGGTCTGAACCGGGTCGAGTCCACCACGTCAGAGTCCAGCTGAGATCGTACGAGCCGCTCAGACTCCACCAGGCTCTGAAACTCTACTGCAGCAAGTGTACAACCATGTAGGCTCACACGCATGCCATTTAAAGCGTCACAGTTTGAATGAATGTTCTGCTCTTTTCTTTCGTATATGGTTTCATTTTTGTCACATGCACATGCTGATATGAAAATATTTTTTTTACCAGGTATGTAAGGATACCTCACAATGCAATTAAGAAGTCGATTTAAATCAATTAAACAATAAATATACAGGCAGCTGTAGCCTAGTGGTTAGTGCACCCAGTGTACCCAAGTTTAGGAGTGTGCAGCCTGGGTTCAAATCCGCCCTGTGGCTCCTTTCCCGCACGTCATTCTCCACTCTCTGGGTGCGTTCGAATTGTCCCTCCTATCTCCTTTCACTATCCACTTTACCTTAACCTCGGAAGTGTTTAAGTGGCGGCCATGATAATAGCCGTTCGAATTCTCTAAAAGTCAAGGAAAGGTGGTCAATGCTTCCTTTATAACCTTCTTTAGCATAGGATACACTGGACCACAACATTTAAAGCGACTCGCGCATCCGACCGTTCACGAACATTAACGATGACAGAAAAGGGACGGAGATCATGTAAGTTACCATTTGCAATAATATGCCTTGAACAATTTTCAACAATCTTGAACCCGTAGGCGAACTATGAAGGTTATGCTGATGTTGTAAAACGATGTGATTGAGTTTAACTTTTATTGCAGCCTATGCTCAGTTTGCATTCGTTATTTATCCACTTTGAGTGTTTTGGCAGCCGTAAGCAATATCATAAATAACGTCAAACTTTCCTTCAGTCACAGATGCTGAAACCCTTTGATTGATTAAGGTTCTTGAGATATTATGCAAAGCCATATTATCAGATTATAATCACCATAAAAAAACATCACCCTGTCTTTCAGGTGAAAAGGGATCAGAGACATTTTGAGCCAGATGATGTTTTATTCAACATATTTCATTCAATTCAGAATGTTTTGTGCATTTCTTCAGTTGTACATTCTCGTCTTGCATAAATGTAACAATTAATTTCATCTTATTTTGATGTTGATTTATGAGTGGTCAGGAATGTGATGGTTTCACTTTTGTTACTTGTAGCCTATATTGCTTTTATTTCAATCCCAACCTTGTGGTTATTAGGATTATTTCACCGGTAAGAAGGCACAGGGGAAAGTTTTTTAGATGCGTTTTTGTAGTCCATTTTCTGAACATTGTAGTTTCAACACAGCGGACCCATGTCATTAACCTCCGCCGGCCCGTCGCATTTAATTACGTCGCCTAGTGGAAATTCGGTTGGATTGTCAGAGCAACAAGATCGCCTTTCCCTAAGTCCTTTATGAATTCTCCTAACATCTTTCCTCATGACGTTTTCCCCAGGGTTAAGGTAAAGTGGATAGTGAAAGGAGATAGGAGGGACAATAAGAACGCACCCTCTCTCTCTGTCCTGTTTCTGAATCTATCCACCATTTTATCCAGCAGAGGGCACTACCTGCTTATGAATCCCCTTATTCAACAGCCGTAGCTGAAGAAGAGATGTGTACAGACATGGTGGAAAAAAGTGAAGATTTTGAATTTGAGTATATAATTTGGCTCTTTCCTAATTTAAGCGCTGCTTCCTTCAGAGGACGCATGTGAAGGCTGATTACGTCACAGTGTTGCGGTGGAGGCTGTCCCGTTTTGAAGGCTCTGACAAATCAAATGCTGACTAATGCGTCCTTCTTTCTGTGGCCAACCATTGAGTGCATCCCACGTGGCCCCACATCTCCTGTGCATCTTTTTTGCACTTTTATTTGTCATCAAAGTCGTAAATTACAAAGCTCTTAATTATAGACTCAGCCTAAGTGGATTATTAAAAAGGCTGCTTTTATAGGGAGCCGGCATACAAAATGATGGGAGTGTTGTTTTGTTTGTAGGTCACATAGTGGCCGCAGTAATCATTTCCGTCTTTTTCATAACCAGCTAAAAAAGAAGGCACCAAAAATGTCTCCCCTTCTCTCAGTCAGTGTGGATCGTTACATTCACATCTGATTTCTCTCTGATCGTGCGCTGTGATTTCAGGCGGGAGGTCCCAGACGATGAAGTGGTTGATGGTGTCTTTTCTGAGGCGTCCAGGGACTCTGGACCTTGCAGTCCCCCAACGTGGGCGCTGTCAGGACAGGTCGATGCCCCCAGGGATACCCCTAATCGAGCTCTCGGTGTTCACCTGTCCACCCAGCTCGTATCTGAGGGGAGATCTAAGGAGCTCGTCTTCCTCAGGGGTAAAGTCTCCTCTAGTTTGTATTATTTTCTCAGGAATTTGAAGTTTTGTCCTAAAATCAGACACCCATAAACGGACGTTCTGGCATTGCAGGTTCGACTCTGGAGGAAACGTGTCACCTGGCGTCCACCTATCAGAACATCGTCCCTGTGAGGTCATCAGGAGGTCAAATGGATTTGCTCGACCTGTCTGCACCTTTTCTGTTCAGAGGCAGGAAGAGATACTACGGGTCAGAGATGAGCCGCACACACACACAAAAATAACAGTTAGATATTTATTTTTAAGCTCCAATATGTCAGATATATACTAAAATAAACCATAAAGTGAGCTTACTATATGATCAGACATTAAGGAAACATGCTATGTTGAAGTGCTGGCTTCTCTGACAACAATGCAGCAGCCAGTATGTCCTCCTTCTAACTTTAGATTCTGGTCCTGAATGCTCTGGATTTGTTTGGACCAGAGATAGTAGGCGGTTTTAAGGCATCTCAATATTGGAGATGCTTTTGAAAAATGGAGAGAGGTTAGAACGCAGAAAGGTTTATAGACCGATGCAGAGCTGGCTAAACACTGAAGCTTCAGTGTCTACCACATGGCAACCTGCATGAGAGGGGGCGGGGGGAGACAGCTCTCTACAATGTTTAGAATTTGGACTGCAGTACCCATTTTAAAAACTAGGTGTCAGAGTTACATATTTCTCATTTAAGCAATTCCAAAACTTTCTTATCATCAAAACTAAGAACTGTAATCTGAAAGTTATTAGGTTTCTAACTAACCCTGTAAAAATGAAAGTTTCACGAAAAACAGCTGAGTTGAAACATGAACTGATGAGAGAGGATGTGTTTGATGTCTTTACTCGTAACTCTGATTCACAGTACATTTGTTCTGCAGTGGAGGATCTGTTCTCTTGACGGTGTCCTGTGTGTGTTTTAGGTGTAAGCGGTGCTCCGAGGCCGCAGTGAGGGAACCCTGTGCTGTGGGGGTCGAGCTGATCGACGAGAAGGTCGTTGCAGAAGGTGAGACATCAGACCTTTTTTTTAAATGGTGCGCTTCTGCAACAGAGCCGTAAAAAAAAGCTCCTCCTCCATTACCTCTTTGTGCACATTCATAATGATTCCATTAGTCTGTGATTTCACATCTGGTGTTCTGGCGTTTTGAAAGCATGACGAGTAGAGAAACAGCCGGAGCTGCACACACACACACATACACACACATACACACACACGCACACATACACACACACACTCACAGTGCTGTTTCCTCCCCCTGCTGATGCCGCCAATCTGTGGCATTCACAGTGAAGGTGAGACGTCACAGGGACATACATATCGCACCTTGAACCGACAGTTTGAATAGCGTGACAGAGTTTGATTTCAGTCTGAGAGAAACTGTCGAGATGTAAAACAAACTGTTCACAACGCTTTGTTTGGTTTCCAGCTTGTTCTTGCGACTACAAATGTCATAAATGGAGCTTTAAAAGAAACCCAACATCAACTCACAATTAAAGCTTTTACGTTTCCTGCTCCTTCTGATTGGAACAAGTTCCCTTTAAATATCCGATCTTTCTCATCGTTTTGCTGATTTAAAAACATTTTTGTTTTCTCATCTTAAAGCAGATTGCTCATGTCAGCACAGTTTGTTTCCTCTACGTATGGACTGACTGTATCCAAGCGACGATCTCCGGTGTTTAAAAAATGAAGCCAATGCCAAAGTGCAAAATCCTGCATTTCATCAAATGTCCACTAGAGGCTGGCTCCAGGAACACCAGAAGTCACATACACACACCCATTCAAAAAAGCAGTTTTTACAGCATAAATAAACATGTTTACAGCGTGGTACCAAAAAAACAAATAGGTCTGATTAGTTATTGTCATCATGAGCACACACTGTAGTTTTTAAAATTGCTCCGTTTGATTTTGAAAACGATGCATTTCATCTGGATCCCCCATCTCCAGATGAGTGATGTCACTCAGGCCTCGTCCATTAATATTTACAGACTATGGACTAACTTCTTTAGGTTGTCCTTCTTCTTCTTCCCAGTTTAGCAGGCAGGAATAAAAGGCCCAGAATAACTCCTTTCCTTTCCTTCTTTTTAATGACGAATATACTCCATATGTGTAAATGTCTCTGTTCTGCAGCTCTTGGCGTTCAGCTGCTGCAGTTCGTCCTGCTGATGAAGCTCGAGCTGCAGGACTCGACGGACACTCTGGACGTCTTCCTGTGGAGAGACGCTGTGAGTTTCCACATGACGATCAAAGTCCAGCTCAGTCTGCATCAAAGGGGACCTTTAGGCATACAGTGTTGGAGAAGTTAAAAAAAAGAGGCTAATGTGGAAGTGCTTAAACATGCTTTCCGTCTGACTGCCAGCAGTGGGCGACTCAACCTGCTGCTTAAAAAAAAAGGAATCTAATTATGTGAAAGTCTTCAAATCTACTTCTACAGTGTTTTTGAACATATATGTGGGTAACCTGAGTGTCTACTGACCCACAAAATGTGAAATAAACCCATCCAATCCTTTGTTTGTGGTCTGCATAAGTCTTACAACACAGAGGAAAATGCTCAGTTTCAAATCTGCTCTCCTTGTGATGTCACAGTGGGATTCTGGTAAAAAAAAAAAAAACCTCCCCTCCCCTGGTATCTCCACCCCCAGCCTAGAACAAAACTTTTACGCAGGTCCGCCATTTTTATTGTCGCTACAGAGGAGTGATGTCTACTGGGAAAACTCAGGGGGGGCTCATTGCATTTAAAGAGACACACACACCAAAATGGAGCATTCTGAGAGAGCTGGTTTATACAGGCTCACAAACCTCCTCTGGTGCTGGATTCATGTTATATTTTGACCAAAGCACAGCACAGATGTTTCATTTAGACCACAGGGGACTGTTTGAAAAGGTGGAAAGGGGGGATAATATGTCCTCATCACAACAATGTGATGAAAGAGATGAAAATCAACGTCCTGTAACGCTCAGAAGAGATGCTAGCATCTTTGTTCATGATTAATGTGAGTGCTTTGCTTCCATCATCAGGAGAATTTCTTCGCCGTGGCAGCAGAGGACGCAGCGGCCAGTCAGGAGGCTCAGAACAGCATCCATCAAGCAATGAACTTCCTCTGTCCACCAGGGGGCAGCACAGGTAAATGTTTTAAAATCACTTAATAAATATTTTTCTCTGTAAAAATAAATAAAAAGTATTGAGTGCTCACTTCAGCTCTTGACTTGACTAATGAATCAGAAGACACATTTAAAAATCATGACAAAACACCAGAACAACCAAAGCCTCTTGAGCTAGTTGCTATGGCAACCCCAAACCTGGCACACGACACACAATGAAGGTAACAAAGAAAGCTCCAGGAGAGAGAACAGAAAATACAGCAGAGCAGCCTCACAAAGTTTAGTCCAATAGAAATCTAAATGTGAGTGTGACGTCAGGCTCAGGTGTGTTTGTGTCCTCAGGTGAGCGTCCATGGATGGATTTGTGTCTGGCGTCGTACGAAGCAAAGGACAACGGAGGACAGAACCAAACGTGCTATCAGATCTGTCAGACCATCTTCACCAGACCCCCCTCATCGACGCGCAGCAACCCCAACCCGGCCTGAAAAACCTGCCCCGTTCAAAAATCACGAGAAGACGCTCACCTGGTTTAGCATCTCACGCACTTTGAGCTTTATTTAAACTTATTGCTGAAAACAAACAAACATTCATATTTTTTTTTAATGTATAAAGCTGTTGACTGAGGTGTGAGTGTGTGTTTTAAAAATGTTCTCTGAGCCTTTTAACGACTCTTTTAATAAAAGAAAAAGAAAAAGAAGTCTGACTCGTTATTTCTCCTGGAGTAGAGATCTTGTGTTCATTTAAAATCTGAAGCTTCTGTGTGCAGACGAGACGAGAGGTGGAATCACTTCTTTATAATTCAGCAGAACAAGTACGAGAGAGCGCAGTACCATGGCAACCACCCGCGGGCGCTATCTTGGCATCGTTTCATTTACCACACATGTTGGTTTGTTTGGCCTCATCGTCTGACTTCCATCACGGCCGTTTACAAAGACACACCCCTTTTTTTTTTTTTATTACACTGGAGAAAATGAAATCGAGGATTTTGCTTTTTATTTTCTGCAAAAATGTTTGACAGTCATGGCGCCGGTGGCCTAGTGGTTGATGCGGTGGTTGGTTACTAAAGAAAAGTCAGGAGGTCGAGATCAGAGTCTTTATGAAGGTTTAAATCTCAGAGTACAGAGTAATCAGAGCTCACAGGAATGAAAAACAGATATGTATTCACCCACACGAACTTCCTAAGATGAGACGTTTCTCTTCCATCAAGGTCCTGGGAGGTTTAAAGTTACATTTGAAGCTTGATCCAGAGGCAGCTGGACCGGTCGAAGACGTTTCACCTCTCCTGCTCTGAAAGGCTTCTTCAGTTCTAAACTTTCTGGTGGACTGAGCTAGAAATGTACGCTAGAGGATCCACAGAGGCTTTCATTTCTAGCTTCATCCAGCCATGCACACAACATCTTGTCCCAGTCCCCCTACTCCCTTTTTAAATTATTAAGTTGTACTTAAAAGAGCCACGAGTCACAAAGGAGCCACATGTGGCTCGAGAGCCGAGGGTTGAGTGTCACTGGTGCTGATCTGCTGTGTTATTCCGCCATCTGCTGGTCAGCTGCTGAAAATACACTTCATAAAAACTTAAAATTCACATGAACTGGGTCTGAAATGATGTGTCAAATCAGTCATTGAGGCGTACTGGTGTAATACCAACATTTCCCACTAGAGGGCAAACTAGATCTGAAAATATTTACTCTGACAAAACTTTGAAAACAAGGGAACCTTTGCTGGAGTTTGCACTTGATTTCTTTTCTATTTTTTTTTGCCTTTATTAGAGAGGACAGCTGAAGAGGAGACAGGAAACATTGGGAGGAGAGAGAGGGGAACAACGTGCAGAGGAGGGCAGAGGTCAGATATGTTTCTCTACGAGCCTTGGTATGCGACAAGTATTTCTGGATTGGGCTGGAACCAAAAGAGAATCTATCTTCTTAGACTCTATTTTAATCTTAGTGCTTTAGAAGTGTCTGTAAAATGAAAAATAATCTAAATGGTATAATCCACACAGTAATCCCGTACAGATAACAGTTGAGTGTGTTATTTGTACAATTTATTATCGGATCAGAGCAGGTTTGACAGATGACTCCCCCATCCGACTCCCCCGCCTTCGTTCCTCCTCCTCCTCTTTTTCTTCCTCCTCCTCCGCCTCTCGGGTGCTCTTGTCTCCTTCAGATGGAGCTCAGCGTCTCCACGGGCAGCTTTCCACTGCGCTCCCTCTCGGCCTCCGCGCGCTCCGGGGCGTGCTGAGCGTGCAGAACTTCACGGGACGGAGGTTGATCAGCCCGGAATTTGAGTCAAGGCTCTTAATTCGCCAACCCGGGCTCCGGTGGATCTGAAAAGTCGCCTCAGTTTTCTAGCCCAGTTTTAGGACACTTTTACTCCTTTTCTCTTTCTCTCTCTCTTTTGGTGATGCCTCCAGACTGGAGCCGCTCCTGGACGCACCCAAACCGGACAGGTGCACCTCTTAGACAGCAACGAGGATTTCGTAAAAGGTTTTTGCGTGCAAAGATGAAGGAAAACTGAAATTGTCTGGAACGTTTAAGCGAAGATTTTCTCATATTTTAGACTGATTTTAAAGAACCAGTGATGGATCCATCATTTTGGAAAACAACCCGGTTTGATCTCACGGGTTAGAGAGAACCACACAATGCTGCTTCCATTCTCGAGGTTACTGTGTTTGTGGCTCTGCAGTGAAGCCGTGGCCAGTCAGCTCCACTGGCAGAAAACAAAGACGGCTGTCAGCCCTCATTATGAATCCGACCCCGCTGAAAGGAATGCGCAGAGCCGGGTATGGCGCACAGTTATTGCGGAGGACAATGGGGGTACGCACAGTGTTACAGCGCAGAATTCTTGGGTGGATAGTGTAAAGCCTTCATCCCCTGAGCTTCTGGGGAAACCGATACCTCTAGGCACTGTGCGTAAAAGCTACGCGCAAAATGTACCAGAAGCTTTGCGCACGAATGTAAACAAACCAGATGAGCATCTGGGGGGTGGATGCCCTCCAGGAGAAATCCTTAAAGCAACCCCTTATGGACGCACATGTAGCCCCGGGAGGACCGCACACAACCGGCGGCAGAGACGGAGCGCAGTACCCAGGAGGACGAAGCCCAGCGAGCCACCGAAGGACTCATGGGAAGATCTGCCTGCAGCCATGGCGCAAGAACAAGAGGCAGAGTTCCCCCTCACACTCAACACCAGTGACTACGAGGAGGAGTACCCACTTCCGGACTTTCCGGGCTCCACACCGTTCACGCCGGTGGACACGCGGCCCAGGCGGAAGCAGGTGAAGAACCCGTTCTATCCAGTCACCGCGGAGTCTTACGGCGCGTACGCGATCATGATCATCGCCACCGTCATCTTCTGCGTGGGGATCATTGGGAACGTGTCGGTCATGTGCATCGTGTGTCACAACTACTACATGAGGAGCATCTCCAACTCGCTGCTGGCCAACCTCGCGCTCTGGGATTTCGTCATCATCTTCTTCTGCCTGCCGCTCGTGGTGTTCCACGAGCTCACCAAGAACTGGCTGCTGGGGGAGTTCTCGTGCAGGATCATCCCCTACCTGGAGGTGAGAGGGGGGCAGGGTGCTGGTACTCAGTCTGCTGCTGATGTTGCACACTTGGAATGATTGAATGTACCTGAGTTAACTATCATCTGAGAGGTGAGAGCAGGTCTGACAGATGTTATATGGAGCATCTCTTATGACATCATTTGACAGCCCCCCCCCCCCAGATTAACAAGGAGGTTAAGAATTATTTTCAAGCCTTTAATCCCTCCACTCCTCCATTAAAACATCTCTCCCTCATGTGTGTCTTTAATGGGGACATACTAACCAGTTTATCATTCTCCAACGCAAATATTCCAACGTATCTGAGTTTTATATCGAAACAACATTTTAAGTATATTATCCCAAAATCCCACCTCTGGACATTTTCCCCTTCTTGAGCTGCGTTGGAAAGAAGAAACACAAAGTGCAAAGTTTGTTAATAAACAGGATCAAGAGTGGATGGTCATTACTTGATTTGGTTAAGACTAGCAGACTTATTTTAGTCGTACACATGCTGGTAAGTGAGTCCTTTCTGCAGAAGTAGAGAGTGGGTGGATGTTAAATTCTAACAGCTGGGACCATCTGGAGTAGCTACGCCCACCCAAATCCCGCTGGAACACCTCCTTCCTGCATATTTAAATGTGCAGCAGAAGAGGAGAGGAGAGGCCGAAGCAGATTCAGGGGATTTTTTTTGTGTTTTGCTTTCTGCTTTTGTTTTCTGAAACTGAACTGTGGCTTTTTGTAAAAGGGCCAGAGTCTCTTTATAGACGAATACACTCGGTAAGATTTAAGTTTTTGCAGTGAATTGTTCTATAGGGGGTCAAATGTCACATTGAAGGAATTAAAGGATTTAATGATACAGAGAAACTGATCGAATCTCACGAGGTAATGGTAAAAGATGAGTTTCTACAGCACAGCTTTCATTTCTGACGCATCTTCCTTTTCATGTTTACGGATCACCTCTTAGTAGTCTAAGGGGGGGGCTCCAGACCGCAGTCAGTGCTTAAATCAGGTTTAATGTGAGGGGGGTCTTTAATCTGATCAGGGTCACATCAGGCAGCAGAGAGCAGGCCGACACCTGCTGACAATCAGAATGAAGATCAGGATTAATGGCTTAAATCAGGTTTAATGTGAGGGGGGTCTTTAATCTGATCAGGGTCACATCAGGCAGCAGAGAGCAGGCCGACACCTGCTGACCAATCAGAATGAAGATCAGGATTAATGGGAGGCTGAGATTAAGGAAAAACGACCCCCCTCTGATCAGTCTTCATCAGAGGAAACACGGAAGGTCTGAGATTAGATTTCTTTCGAGTTTTCTCTGGTAATTTTTGTGCCCTTCTTTAGTTCGATTGTTCTGGTTCTGCTCGTCCTGGTTTGGTCCTTTTTGTCACAAACAAGGAAACTCTTAAAGGTTCAGTAAACGACAAAAATCAACAACTGTAAGCATCTAACATTGCATCCCTTTCCTGTTGAAACAAATCCCTGTGCACAAAGCCATCTCTGCACAGACGTGAGGATCTTGACTCTGACCTCAAGGCCAGCCGACATCTTCAGAGATAAACCGGAGACTCGCTGTGAGCCAGACTTCACCTCACATCAGAGATTGACCTCACTCATGCTCTTGGCTTTGAGAGAGTAAATCCTCGCAGCCAGGTTTTAAAAATATCAAAATCTCTGACCAGAACAATTTAGGAGGAAACAAGGAGGCAGAATGCCCCACCACCCCCCTTCCAGTGGACCTCACAAGACCTTTTTTCAGAAAAAAAGATCCTCAGAATCAAAAGCATTTTTACTAAGTCTTGTCTCGGTCTCTTTACACACAAACCATAGAGATATCCTCAGTCATTTTCTTTCTCCCTTATTTCTGTTTGCCGTCTGGGCTGCTCCTTACAGACAGAATCCCCCTGTCGAGGGAATCACATGGAATCTGTTTCTCTGATGCATGCATAAAGTTGAGGGGTAAACTATGAGAATAAAACAGGGACAGCAAATCACAGTTATGATTCAGAAAGATTACAGAAAAGAAGTCTGAACAATAACTTTGGAAGAGATGACTTGTGCTAATTATGGTTTAGAGACATAGAGATTTATGTGTTGATCCAAAAGGCCAAAAAGAAAATGTTTAGAGAAGCAAGATGAGCCACCAACAAGAAGATGACATCGAGTCTCTCTCTCACACACACACACACACACACACACGCACAAACAACTGGTGTGCCTGTGTGTTGTCTTTCATACAGTGAGAAGTGTTTACAGCCTCTGAGACACAACAGAAGTGGTTTGTGACAGTATGACACGGAGCAGAAGGCTGAAAAGAGTGTGTGTCTGAACCACCTGATGTAAGAAAACACTCTTAATGAGCTGGTTCAGCGAGTTCACTTTGAGGTCAGGATTTATGTGGAAATAGTTAAAGTCTTACTGCATGCAATTACACTTGTTCCTCTTTTGCTTCATTGCTGGGATCTCTCGACGAGATGACACTGGCTCAGAAAGTTTCTGCAGACACTTGCCAAAGAGTGATTATCCTCACCAGACGCTTCGTTCTTATTCAAACTGGTGGTTCCTTTGGTAGATTCAGTCGGCCTGTAGCCTTTCTGTAGTGACATTAAGGGAATTATTTGATAAATTAAAGCTACCCTAAAAAATCCTACAATTATGATCACGTAAGTATAATACCAATATAATACTGTCTTCTATTGGTATTTAACATCTTGGACATCTAGGACTCCTAAGTTGTTTTGGGATGTGGAATAAATCTCTAGAATCATCAGTTTAAGTGACCTACCATCTTTCAGAAGGATGCTACATCCGTTTGTAACCTCGGGGGTTCGAAACTCAGCCAGTATTGAGAGATAAGAGTCAAGTGCTTACTAGAAATACTCAGATTGTTAAAGGCGATCTATGATACTCATTTTCACCATTCATTATGTCAATCTAGGACAGGTTATGAGTAACACTGCAAGATGAAACTGCCTGAAACGCTTAATTTGAGAGAGCTTCCAGGTGGGCGTGTCCTTTAAAGAGTAGCCGGGTGGGCGTGTCCTACAACTTTGCTCCGTGCTTTGCTCTGACACATCAGTTGAACTTGACGTCAAGTTCTGGCCAAGTCTCGTCAAGTTCTCGTAAAGTCTCGTTCAGAGCAGCAGGAAACCACGTCCGGGGATTACACTAACAACTGTGTCTGTTGTGTTCAAGTGCTCGAACTCGAGCCAGTGATGAGAGACATGAGTCTGTCCTGACTGCACGTCACTTTACCGAGCTTTAACTGTGAATTCGTCTCTGGTCTACTGGGTGGGTCGAATGGCTATGATTGTCTTTCAATAAGTCTAACTTGACTGATGTTGTTTTCATGAATGATTCCCTCAGTAAAAAGAGTGGGGGAAGATACGCTTCAGTGAAAGTGTGGGCGTTGGTGTGATGTGCCTGCTCATGACCATAGGTGAACCTTGGAACATAGATGGACTGGTAAATCGAAAGCTTTCTCTTCTTTGACTATTTTTTAACCATGATGGTTTGGTGCAACACCCATATTACTGCAGCAACCAGTACCTCAGTCAGTCGTTTTTTATTTATATAGCGCCAAATTATGACAACAATTGTCTCTGATTATTTACTTAAAGTTCCGGACTTTATTCTACTCTTTCTTGTGATACTTTTAACCAACACTCATGAACAAAATGCCCTTGCTTGAGGCAGATCCTCGGTCTGTACCCAGAGAGATCCACCAATCCACCATTTTTGGGACTTGAAATTGTTGACTTTCGCCCCAACTACTTCACACATCGGCTCTAAACCTCCAAAGCACCGGCTCCGGGTAATGATTTTTTGAAACAAACATAATGACATCCTCTGCAAAAAGACAAACGCAATTCTGAGGTCAAAAAAGCAACCTTGCCCGAGTTGAATCAAATATAATAATTGATTGAGACGGATTAATGTGGGGAATTTTTTTTAATTTAAAGTGGAAAATGTTACCTGACTTGTTCCGTTTTGTTCACAGGTGGCTTCCCTCGGGGTCACGACCTTCACCCTCTGCGCTCTGTGCATCGACCGCTTTCGAGCTGCCACCAATGTGCAGATGTACTACGAGATGATCGAGAACTGGGCGTCCACCTCGGCCAAGCTTGCTGTCATCTGGGTGGGTGCTCTGCTGCTGGCGCTGCCCGAGCTGTTGATCCGACAGCTGGTCACTGAGGACGGGGACCAGCCCGATGTGACGCCGTGCGAGCGCTGCGTTGTGAGAATCTCCACTGACCTCCCTGACACGCTGTACGTCCTGGGACTCACATACGATGGCGCTCGCCTCTGGTGGTACTTTGGCTGCTACTTCTGCCTGCCGACACTGTTCACCATCCTCAGCTCGCTTGTCACCGCGCGCAAAATACGTCAAGCAGAGCGAGCCTGTGTCCGCGGCAGCAAGAAGCAAATTCAGTTGGAGAGCCAGATGAACTGCGCTGTCGTGGCGCTGGCCATCCTCTACGGCTTCTGCATCATCCCAGAGAACATCTGCAACATCATCAGCGCGTACATGGCGGCTGGCGTTCCCCGGCGAACCCTGGACATCCTGAATCTGATCAGCCAGCTGCTGCTCTTCTGTAAGTCGGCGGTGACGCCGGTGCTGCTGTTCTGCCTGTGTCAGCCGTTCACCAGAGCCTTCCTTGACTGTTGCTGCTGTTGCTGCGAAGAGTGCGGCCCGCCCCGCTCCCCCGCCACTGCCACCAGCGGCGTCGACAATGAGGGCACCACCACAGAGCTTGAGCTGTCGCCATTCAGCACCATCTGCAGGGAAGCGTCCACCTCCACAGGGTATGCCGCTGTGGGGACACACTGCTGAGAGTCATTTCTGCCATGTGATAAGAAAAATTATAAATGGACGCGTTGACATATCAGGCTGTACATTCCTGATTATTCCAAAACCCCAAACAGTTGAAATATTCATGTTTACGGACAGACAGACTGAAGGCAGAACTGTTTGTCCATTCACTGTTTACAGAATTTATATATGAATGAACACAGTGAGTTTAAGTTAGACACATTTACTTCTGAAGATCTTTTTCATTAACTCACCTGTATTTTACTGTAAATGCACTCAGTCTTATTTTTGGTCATTGTCACTGTGTTTGAAGCTGAGAGCAGATATGGACCCTGGTAAGATTTTCTGCCCGGGTTTAAAACACTTTATTTTATGATTTTGTAATTACATTTTCTTTCAAGAAAAGAAAACTTCATTCTCCACAAAGGTTGAATCCTCTGATCAACCTGATGACTAAAACGACTCTGCCAGGCCATTTGTACAAAAAGTTCAAATTTCCAGTATTACTTTAGTGATAAATATTTTTGTTGGATCCAATTTATAAATTAAAAAAAACATACCTGGTCACCACACCAATTTTGGTGAGTTTTCAGGCATGTTCAGGCCACAACAATTCCTTTGGTTTCATTAGAGTCCTCGCTCTGAGGTCGGTGCTCAGGCCCTAAAAATGAATCCAGAAAACATGGAGTTCCTCTTGAACTTCAATAACTGGGTATGTACTATTCTTAAACTGTCTTTTTGTTCCATGTACTATAAATGATTTCAAGCTTAACACGAAACATAGTAAACAATTGAAGGGAATTACAACTGAAAATAAAGCGTTACCTTAATCTACTTGTGTTTGGGTGAAGGTGGGAAATAATCCTGCACGACGGCTGCTGTCAGCACTTGTCCTCTGTTTCTTCTTTTAGGATGTTTTCTTCCTTTATTTTGTACTTTTTGTGTGAATGAGTGTGAGAGAAATATTGTAATATATTGGAAAAGGCTGATAATGCTGTGTGGTGTAAATCTCTTCTGGATGCTCTTCTTTGCTCTGTATGTCACATGATTATGTTGTTTTTTCAGCCATGAGAGACGTGTCACTTGAATTAAAACATATTTTAAAGTAGATTCCTTTTTGAACCGTCATGTCAATTTAAACAGGTGGTTTCATTTGTGCTGAATCATAAACTGTAAATATTAATGTTTGAAGCCTGAGTGATGTCACCCATCTGTTCCTGCAGGGGGCTCTGGAGGCTCATCGGCAGCAGCCACCATGCTGGAAATCCTGTCTCAGCCTAACTTTCAGTCAACCAAACGACAGGCTGAGAGCTGGAACTGAGGCGGGTTTTAAGCCTCTTGACAAACAGTTACATCGCACCCACCTGTTAATCATGTCAGGTATGCTTCTAACTATGGATAAAACATATTGTTCATAAAATCAAAACTGAGCAGTTTTCAAAAATTTGATCACGGTACAGTGTGTGCTCATGATGACTAATAACTAATCAGACCTATTTCGTTTTTTGAAACCAGACTGTAAAATATTTCATTTATGCTTTTAAAATGTATTTTTTGCCAGTGGTGTGTATGTGTCTTCCGGTGTTCCTGGAGCCAGCCTCTAGTGGACACTCGGTGAACTGCAGGATTTTGCACTTCCACATCGGCTTCATTTTTCAACACTGGAGGTTGCTGCTTGTGCTGAATGTTTTAATGACAGCTCAGAGAAAGGCAGCAGACACTAAATCAAGGCTTTCACGTCCTCACAAAGAAACATGTTTATTTTGTCATATTCAAAGGTATCTTTATTGTCCCCACAGGGAAATTGGTTACACATACATAAAACATAAAAGCTCCCCAAAGATCATCCAGCATCCTGTAAAAAGTGCAAGAGTAGTGTGCAATGAGCAGGAAGCGATTCAAATGAACTGCTTTTTAACAAACAAATAGTAGCCGGTCGGACCCAATGCCTTTCAGTCTTCACCACATATTCACACTTCCTGTTTTAATTTGACAGACTTAAACCGGACTGCAGGCACAGTGACACCTGCAAGAAGAAAAACACAGATGGAAGTCGATGTTTATTTAAAAATGAAGCAGAATGAGACTGGTAATCATCGTCCAGCAAGAGGACAGTGTCACCATTGTTTGTACAGTTCAGACTCAACACAACATGTCCTCATTAACTCAGAGCAGCATGCAGGTTCATAAATGTCTCAGTCCTTCCTCTGACATGAACAGAAAGCAGCTGCCGTTCAACGCGGCGATGCATGAACATGACTTTTTCACAAATGTTTTATTCTTTTTCCATCAAATACTTAAAAAAAAAATAGAAACTGACTGCTTCCCATCTGATAACACAGTATTTGCTGTGTCACTCTCACTGCAAAGCTCAGCTGTTTTTTTTTTTTTTGTCTCGCCATCATTTTCGTCATCATGGACGCCGCCCAGGCCGGGGAGGACACAACACGCCATTGTCCTCACCTCCCGTTGTCATGGCAACGAAGGGAGTCTTCCTCTCAGCTGGCTGCTGCAGTGAACAGCGCTACAGTACCACAGACAACACGTCGAGGCTCATTTGTTTTGAGAGAAGACGGTTTCTGGTCTGATGGAGGGCAGTCTGACCCCCGGCAGAACACTTCCTGTTTCAACTGCTGGTTTAATAAACAGCTGGAAGATTTAAAAAAAAATAAAACAATCAAACATGATTGAGTTTATGGTTCTGGTCGACACCTGAGCTGCTGCTGCTGCTGCTTCTTTAAAAAGTGTTACTGTACTGACTAAAAATCAGCTGAAGTATCTGCTCGTGGCTGCGCTCACACTCCTGAAACTGGATGAACTGGGAGGAGACCCAGGTGTAGACCCAGAGCTCTCTGGGGGGATTATCTCTTCTGGCCTGTGAACGCTTTGGGATCCCCCAGGAGGAGGTGTGTATGAGACCTCCGGGGCTTTATAGCCAGCCTCAAGTGGACACTCGTAAAACTGCAGTTTTTTGCACAAAGATTAAAATATGATTTTTATTGTAGTCCAAACTGTTCAAGAACGGAATTGAATTACCTTTGGGGTATGCCTGAAGTTTTACACATATTTTACAGGATGTTTTTAAGAACGCTGCAAGGAGCCTTGTTTGTCAACAAAGCTGTCAATCATGAGATAAACAAATGATTTAACAGTTTAACACGAAGCCCATCTGTTAACATGGAGGAGGCGGGTTTCATGACCTTTAGTGCAGGCAGTCAGCAGGGGGAGCTCTAAATATTGTGGCTTCACTCCCGGGTGGCGTTTGCTCACTCCATGGTTATATACAGTCTATGTTCAGAAATTTTAATTATTTTGTATCGCTTGAATTCTCCCTCATTTGAGATATTATGATATGAAATGTGATTTGGATTTATAGATCCCATGCCCTCGGTTAATTACATAACATTCTTGTCTAATTGTCCTCATCACAGAATCAAGCAGAGGGGACTCTTTGTCTATAAACCACATTCTTCTCTAATCACCCGTTTGGCTTTGATTTCTGCTCTGGCACCAAACTTGCATGTTCGAGTCTTTTGTCAACGAGGCTGGCGGCCCCAGTCGCTGCTCCAGTAATTAGACAGCCCCATTCATTCAGAAACAAAGGGGGGTGACGGGTACACCGAGGCTCCACTGCTGAACACGCTGCTCACTGACCTTCTCCAAAATGGTCCCAGGACTGTTTTCAGAGATGAGACGTCCTGGGAGGGCCGGGAACGCTGCCCTCAGATAGGTGGACAGGAGCCAGGCTGCCACGGAAACAAAACAGCTCAGGATCGTACAGAAAACTTTTCTTTTGGTCTCATGTGGGATGTCAAAATAACAGAGTAGCCATGAAAGAATCATGAAGGGGAAAGTTGTGAGCATCATACCAGTGTGTGAGTGTATTTGTTTATGAGTTTGTCCTCTAAATGGGAGAAAGTAAATAAACACTCCAGTTGAAGAGCTCTTTGCTTAGAGACTGCTACATTCCTGTAGAAGAAATTCTAGCTCTCAGACCAGCTGTTAAATCTGATGCCACTTTATTGAAGCACGTATAGGAAATACAGCTAAAGCTTAATGCAGATTAAGACAACTGCCCTGCATTAAATATACTTGTAAACATTGATATGTTAGCATGTCATTGTAGCATATTGATTGCAGAATTATAGCTCTAAGTAGTTAGCTTGTTATTATATTCTTTTCTCTTCGTTCTTTGCAGCCGGTCAGCAGGGGGCGATCAGGATCATTTGTTTTCACTTTAAGAGAGCTGTGATGTTGTCCGTCTTTTCCTGCTGCATGTTATTTAAAGTCAGTTCTCTCATTGTTTGAAACCAATAAGGACAGAAAACACTGCAGCAGTTAAATATGCAATCAAATTTTCAAGATCTTCGACCAAGTCCAGTTACCTTTTTTTTTTTTTTTTTTACCATTTTGTAGATCATAGTGTTGAACAACCGAACCATTTCTTTTCTCCGCTGCTCTCAGAGTTAAGAAATAATAAAACCCTGACTGCAGCTCCTCTTGCTCTTCCCTCTCTCTCTCTCCCTGCAGTGTGACAGAGTCTCTGCAGCAGCCCCCTCGAGCCCCCCGGTGGTGAGTCTTAATAGAAGCAGACTGCGGCTGCTGTGTCAGAGCTGCGATGATCTGATTCACTTTATAAATTCCCTCCAGACGGCTGCTGCAGCTCCCTCCACAGACTTTTCCCATCCAGTCGCTTTTTTCACATAACAAGCTGAAAGTGTGCAGGCTGAAGAGTCGCATCCTGACATCATGAGAAGAAAAGGAACAGAAACTTTAACAGCTGTACAGGTATTAACTTTAAGACAGAAACTGCAAACAAATGTGCATCCAAAACTTGAATTGAAATGAAGATTCACAAAATTCTTCTTATATTTCTATAAATTCTACTCTTATTTTACATGTTTTTAGGAGCAAAAATCTACATTTGGAGGTTAAATGGTGGAGGGAGAGATTTGGAAAAAAGTCAGTAAACACACACACACATCACTTATTCAGGTGCTGAGTCATAGAAAAAGACTCTATGATATGATGGTCAAAGACTCACAACACTATGGCTCCCTAAGATGTACTTATTCATATCAATCAATCAATCAATCACATTTATTTATAAAGCACTTATAAAAGCACCTATAAAAACAGCGGCATGCGAACACGAATAGCGAACACGAATAGCTGTAAACATTTTAGGAATGAAAGAGATTCATTTTTTTTTAAATGACGTGATGGGAAAACTCCAATGAAATTAGAAACTATAAGCAATTTAACTTAAACTACTTTGCAACAGAGGATAAAATATGTCTAAGCCTTTGCAGTGCAACAAACTGTTATTTCCTCAACAAAGCCATGCCAAAATGTATTATATGAAAATCTTAAACTCAGGAAAGATAAGATTAAAATAAATGTGAATTACACAGTTTGCCTGTTTTTATAAGCACTTATAAAAACAGCAACAGTTGACCAAAGTGCTGTACATGGAAGAGAGCAATACAGAATAAAAAGCAAAACAAAAACAACAAGGCAAAACTCACACATACATGTTTGCCTACACAGATGCACACAGAATACTAACAATATAATTAGACAATAATATTACAAGACATTTGATAGAAGTACATTGGAAAGATGAATTAAATCCAAGAATTTCCCTTTGTATGAAGGGTGTTTGTTGCCGGGCCATTAACTTTCAAGACTCTCAACTGGTTGTCTGATTGACAACTGGTCAGAGCCAAAACAAAGTCCTCTGAACTTCAGCAGAGCAGGCCTGAGCTCAAATGTTGGTTAAAAACTTGAACATTTTAAACATAGTGGAGGGTTAGATGCTGATACAGTAGCTGCTAAATGAGTGCAACGAAACACATCCTCAGCGATTAACAGCCCCCGACAACAGCATCCGATCCTCAGGCGAGAACATTAATGTGTGCTTAACCCCTCTGAGTGAGATCACGGGGAAAGGTTGCAGATAATTATGGAGGATAAATGAGAATAGGCAAAGGATCTGAGGGCCCGTCCGCTCAATTATCACCATGAAAGAGCCTTTTGACAAACGGCTTGAGTCAGCATCCATAATGGATCCGCTCTGACAGAAAACAGAAGCTGGAATCGTTTGACAG